ATTATAAAGTGATATTCTGTTTCTCTTATAATGGCCTCCACATTTGAGATCTATTTTATCAGATATAAGTATTGCTACCCCAGCTTTTTTTTTTCATTTTTGTTTGCCTGAAAATTTTCCCTCCACTTTCAGTCTGTGTGAATCCTTTGTTCTGAGGTAGGTCTCTTGTAGACAGCATATATATGTGTCATGTTTTCTTATCATTCAGCTACCCTATATGTTTTGATTGGAGCATTTAATCCATTTATGTTTAAGGTTATTATTTGTAGATACTTGCTTGTTGCTATTTTTATTGTTTATGCCCTAATTCCTTCTTTTCTCTCTCTCTCTCTCTTTCTTTTTCTTTCTCTTTCTCTCTCTCTCTCTCTCTCTCTCTCTCTCTCTCTCTCTCTCTCTCTCTCCCTTTTTTACAGAAGTCCCTTTAGCATTTCTTGTATTTCTGGCTTGGTGTAATATACTCCCTTATTTGTTTATTTATTTTTGCCTGTGAATCTCCTGATTTCATCTTTAATTTTAAATAACAGACTTGTTGGATGGAGTATTCTTGGATTCAGTCCCTTGCTTGTTATGAGCATGTTGTTTCATTTCATATTGTCCCAGAGCTGGCTTAGACTATCCTCCTGCTTTTTAATATTTTACCAGTTACTGCACTGCTTGCGTGGGTTTTTTTCTATCTTGTCCTCTATCTGCCCGATTCGGTCCTCAGCTTTTTCTAGTCTACCATTGAAACTTTCCATTGTGTTCTTTGTTGTATCTATGTTATTCTTCATTTCCTTTCGATTCTACACATGTTGATGATTTTCTCATCCAGACATTTGAGCATCCTTATAACCATGTCTCTCTCTGGCAGCCTTTAGATTCTTAATTTTTCATCAATGTTTGCCTATTCAAGTACAAAGTGTCTTTCTCTGACAAGTTGCTTGCATCCATTTCATTTATTTCCTTTTCTAGTGATTCCTCCTTTTCTTTCATTTGGGGGTTGTTTCTTTGTTTCTCCATTTTTGCTGTTCCTTTGTAATTGATTCTATGTATTAATCAAACTGCTATGCCACCCAGATTTTTTGAATTGGTTTTTTGTACTAGATGTTTTTTGTAGGACCCAGTAGTGCAGTCTCTTAGGTCACCAGCACTGGGTATTCTAGGGAGGAATCCTCCTATAAAAGTTTGGGTTATTCTGATATAGTTAGGTCTTGAATATTATTGTCCATTTTGTGCATGGAGCCTCCTCTCAGGGTTTCTGATTATGTGGCTTGCTTTCTACTACCTTATGCCAAAAGTTGTGGAGGCACTAAACCAAATGCATAACATATAACAGGACAAGACATGACACAGAAGGAACAGAACACTAATGTACACAAGACATGTATAACCCCAATAAAAGTGATCATCAGATAAAAGATGATTTCAAAAGAGAAAAGAGAGCAAGAATGATAGTGAGGAATGAAAAAAAAAAAGAAGAAATAGGGGAAGAAAACACAACAAAACAAATAAACAAAAGGCTCAAACAAGAAACAACTGAGGGGAGCCAGGTGGAAATAGCAGAATCTTTAGATGCTGAGCATAAATAGAGGGGAAAAGGCTAAGGAATTGTATAAATAGGGAAGGACCACAGTTTAGAATAGAGGATGAGAAAAGAAATGCGAAGACAAAAATAAAATAGAAAAAGAAAATGAAATATTTTTTGAAAAGGGGATTAGAGGAAACAGCAGAAAGGCCTAAATTTAAGAAGTGATACAAGTTAAAAAAAAATTAGGAGAAGAAAAGAGCAAGATGAGAAAGAAAATAAAAGCATTGTGAAGAAAAAAAAAAGAGAAGAGGAAATGGAGTAGCATCAGGGAAGAGGAAATTACATATATGAATAAACAAACAGAGACTAGAATAGCACATCAATAAATCAGATAAGGAAGATCCATTTTTATGTGAGTTTTTTCTTCCCTATATCAGGAAAGTTTTCTGTCATTATTTCTTCAAACAGGTTTTCTATTGCTTGCTGTTTCCTCTCCTTTGGCACCCCTATTATGCAGATGTTTTGTTTCATGTTGTCCCAAAGTTCCCTTAGGCTTTCCTCCTGTTTTTTAATTTTTTTTCTAGATGCTGCTCTGCTTGGGTATTTTTTCTTACCTTGTCTTCTAGCTCACTGATGCAGTCCTCTGTCTTCTAGTCTACTGTTGATGCTTCCTACTGAGTTCTTTATAGCAGTGATGTCATTTTTCATTTCTTCATGGTTCTTCCACATCAGGGGTCCTCAAATTAAGGCCCGCAGGCCACATGCAAATACAAATATTGTATTTGTTCCCATTTTGTTTTTTTACTTCAAAATAAGATATGTGAAGTGCGCATAGGAATTTATTCAAATTTGTCTTCCATTCTTTTCAGACACCTTATAACCATTTCTCTGAATTATTTCTCCGACAGGTTGCTTGCCTCCATTTTGTTTACTTCTTTTTCTGGTGATGCCTCCTTTTCTTTCATATGCAGCTGTTTCTTTGTCTCCCCATGATCTCTCTTCTCCAGATGTTTGGTTATGTAGTTCTCTCTCTCCTTTCCATGAGAAGGTTCAGAGCTCCTCCGAGTCCACATATTTGTGCTGCTTGGGGTCCGGTGTTCCTGGGTTCGCAGCTGTTGCCTGGGTGGTGTTGTAGATTCCCAGGATTTTTAGACTTCCGATAACAGCCACTCTCCCCTTCAAGATGGCACGGTCTCAGGAAGATCCATTTTTAAAAAGGGGAAAAAGGAAATAAAAAAACTAAAATGGGTAAGAGATGAAAAACGGGAAGAAATAAGAGAAGTGTGAGAGAAAAAGGTGCAAAAAATAAGATAAAAATAAAAAATTTAAAATAATAGAAATAAAACAGTCAAATGTCGTTCACTTCAGCTGATGTGAATGATCCATGGATGCTTGTTTAGGGCCCCACTATTCTGTTCTGTTTGATAATTCTGGGATTCCAGTTAGGTAATAAGGTGCTGACCACTGTTAGTCACTGTCTTTTCTATTTAGCTCTCTGCTTGAGGCTCCAAGTGACCCACAAGTCCTCTGTGCCTGTCTCCACAGGTCTTGGCTGTTTTCTAGCTGTCAGGCGTCTCACCCAAGCATCTGTTTCTGACAGAGCTTTAGGTGGGGATAGTGCTGTTTCTCATTCAGGGAATAAGATGGGTTTTTCCCTGACCCAGAGCTGTTCCTCCATGTGTGTCCCAAAATATTACTCTGGCCTTGGTTGGTCAGAGATCCTTATATGGATAACAATGGCATTGGCTAACAACCTGGAGTTTTTATCAGTCTGATTCCCAGAATAGCAGGGCGAACCAGCCTCTTTCCAATACACTCACCGGATGCACATTGGTACTATTCAGACCCGTAAACTTGGCTTCTGCCTTTGTTTCCTCTGTAAAGCT